AACGTTGATCCTATGCAACGCGATCACATATGCAACCGTGACCATAAATGGTGGGAAAAGGGAAAAAAAAAATAAAAAAAATGGTGGGAAAAGCGGACATGTTCAGGGCCTGGCCATACCACTCTCGAAATGTGAAAAAGACAAAAGTGTGCAGGGTGCATCTGGTGGTGTTCTAGCGGCCAGTTCATTCTCATTTTGCAAATTTCGAGAGTGGCGATGCCCTCATTTAGGAACGTTGATCCTCAGATGAACCCGAGGAATCAGTGATCAAATATGCAACGGCTGAGCGACCGTAGGGGAATACTACACAAGTACTCCAGTGCGGAAGTCACTCATCGCATAAGTGCATATCCGTATAAATCCTCGGCCGCCTCCACAGGAGTTGTAAGAGTATCCAGCTGTGCCGCGATCAACTGTTCTCGCACTGGTTGGTGAAAACTCTCTCAGCACGGGGCTCAAGCGATCGGTCGGTGACGTTCACGACGTTGCTGACGACATCGCCTGTTCATGATCGACCGAGGTCCCGGACCTTCAGCGGCGACGTACCAAGACCAAGCGGGAAGATCGCCAACCGAACTGCGTTGGAAGCAGCTGACGGCGACGATGGCGGCGCGGTACATCTCTCCAGCGATGGCGATGATGGCGGCTTTGTTTGTGGCGACGGTCCTGAGCGCTGCCACTTCTGCTAGTGCAGGCGCACCCCCGAAGGTTTCGATCAGAGGGCTGACGTTCGCCGGCACTGGTTGCAGTTGGGGCGACAGCACCTATGCGATCTCTAACGACTACCAGACGGTCACATTCATCTTCGGCGGGATGGTTGCGACCACTGATTCAGGCTTGGCGGGAAGGCGCAAGTTCTGCCAGCTGTCGTTCTATTTGGACTACCCGAATGGCTGGAGCTTGACGCTCGGACAAGTCACCGGCCGCGGGTACGCGAGCATCGGCAAGGGCTCCAAGGGCGTCTACGAGACGCAGTTCTACTTTTCCGGCCAAACTGGGACGCCTACGGTGAGGCGCACCATCTACGGCAAGCAAGAAGGCAACTTCGAGTTCACAGACAAGTTCCTCACGTTCGTCTATAGCCAGTGCAATAGCGCCCCCAACCTGAACATCAAGTCGGTGGTGCGAGCGGAGGGTAAGAAGGCCGCCGTCGGGCTCGATTCTTCCGACACCAAGTTCCAGCTGAAGTTCGCCTGCATCTGGAAGAAGTGCTGATGTGGACACCGGGTTCTCGAGGGCCAAGCGGGAAGCAGCGTTTGTAGTAGACAGTCGTGATCGGGTAGAGATGGACGGAGCGGATAACCGCGTTGTTATGTTAGTACGGGTTGAGACCGGATTGGGGTATCAGTCCGCTGTAGGAAGAGCTGATCCCGTGCAGATTGACTTACCGTAGTTATTCATTGGTTATACCGAGTTTCGTCAGTTTACGTGCATTATGCATTCCCCCTGTGATGTATGCGAAATGGCCGATAAATGACTTTGAAGATCTGGTACGATTGTTCAAACCAGCGTGGAATGTTAGTTATTCTGTGTGAGTCCCCACTCCCTCCCTCTCTCTGTTTCTGTCTCTGTGTGTCTGTCTCTCTGTGAATGTATGTCTCTCTCCGTGTGTGGCGTCTGTATTAGTGTCTGTGATTATTCGTCTGTGTCTGTCTGTCCGCTCCCCCCACCTTGTCTGTCTGTGTGTCTGTCTTTGTATGTGTGTCTGTCTGTCCCTCTTTCTTTGTGGTGATTTGGTGATCTCATTTCAGCGCACTTCAAACAGTATACGGAAGAGTAGGATCTGTAGATGCACTAAGTAATATGTGAAAGGAGTCCTGTTTCCCGCTTGTATGCCAATTTCCCATCATAGACAGCCTTCCATGCACTTTCAAGAAAATGTGAGTCCGTAACGGAGCACTGATGTCGTAATCTGAGAAGATTAAGTGCGTCGCGACCACAGGCAGTCCGAGAGTCATCTGGCGTAATAATTAAGGAGAGGCGTCTTTTCTTCGTGACGAGATTCCAGGCGAGGTGGCTCCGCACATACCCATACTTAGCGTAACGCGTAGTGTCCTCTAAAATCAGATCCAAGTGTCTGTGTGTCTGTACATTTGGGCAATAATCTTGAAATTCACTCTCTGCGTTCTGAAGTTGGGACAGCCTTCTAAATTCGGAAGGTCATAACTTATCGCTGTATGTATGGATGGATCTTCATTGAGTCCATGGGGGGAAGGAGCAACTTTCCAAAATCGGAAGGTCCAAATCTCAATCGCTTTCAGCTGTAACTTGACAATGCCAAATCCATTTCTTTTTTGTTTTTTTTAATGTTTTGTTTTTTGTGAAGCTCACTGGTTTACTGGAAGGATGGTAGTAATAACATTATGTAATAACAAAAAGGAAGTCGATAGAATGGTGAAGGGAAAAAAATGTTGTTTCACTGCTTGTACGTCATTAATTCGTCTATTTATGTATTGTTTTCGTTATTACCAATTGTGCCCATACTGGATTTCATGCTGCCATGATGCTGGTCATTTGAATGACGAGTGGGTCATTTGAATTGTTACTCATTGGTGTCGTGACTGGGTTTGTGCTTTCTGATTGCCATTGTTGTTGTGAGTGGGTCGTAATTTTTTTCTTCTCATTCTAATATGATGCAGTGCATCGCGAAGAAGGGACGTCATTGTTGTCGTAACTCGCACTGTGCATCTCTATCTCAATGACCGTTTGTCACAGTTTTTAATTATGATGCTTATCATTGCCTCAGGGAAAAACAAAAAAGAAAAAAGAAAAACCGAAAGACGGAACAGAAGACGGCTTCCGAACGATTTCATGCTGGTTATCTGAATGTGTCGTTCTAATCTTAACGATATCCCGGAGAACGGGCTTTTTTGTTCCTCTCGATTTCCAGGAATATTGTTATCGTTGTTGTTGTGAGTGGGTCGTTATTTATTCTTCTCATCCTTGTACTAGTCGTTGTCGTGACTCGCTCTGTGCTTCTCGATCTCAATGAACATTTGTTGCAGTTTTTATTTATGTTGCTTATCATGGCCTCAGGGAAAAAGCAAAAAAGAAAAACCGAAATACGAAACCGAAGACGGCTTCTGAACGATTTCATGATGGTCATCTGAATGTATCGTTCCAATCTTAACGATATCCCGGAGGATGGGCTTTTTGTGCCTCTCGCTTTCCAGGAATATTCGTTACAGTTTGTTTGATTCGTATTATTGTTTCGGGAACTGATAGAAGAAGCTAAACACGGAATCGAAATCGTTGTCCGTTTAACCATGGTCCTGCTGCTGTCGGTAACTACCTTCTTCACCCGAACTGAACGCCCGGTCATTGTCACTGTAACTAGAAGTGTGCAAGTCGCTCGAAGTACGGGTATAATGTTCGGGCGTTCTATTCAGGTGAAGACGGTAGTCTATTTGGAGAAGGGCAACTTGTCTTCTCAAAACTGTCCGCTTGTAAACGGTTTACCTTCGGTTCTCCACAGGCTCCCGGACCAGTCTCCTGGTCGGCAGTCGCTGCTCTGGAAACCGCTTTTCAACGTTGCACAAAGTGGCCAATTGGCTTGCACTGTCGCACATGATCTGGACAAATGGTGTCGTTTTCGGATTAGGGGTAATTGCTTCTTATTTTTGCACTCATTACACTGCGTTGCTACTGCCCTTATTTGTTCCTCTGTTCGCTTCTCTCTCTCTCTCTTTTCGTGTGTGTGTCTCCATAGTGGCACGGGCGGGCCACTTTAAACGCACTGCATCACGAAGAAGGGACGGCCAGGTGCAGGGAATGCACATGGCCTACCCTGAAATCAAGCACACTGTTTGTGGCTCATTTATCGCTGAAGTGTGTTTCCTCGGTGGCCTATCTTTTTCGTTGAGGCTGTCTTTTTCTCGTGGCATCTATGCCCCACTCAATACTTGCTTGCTGTGAATACGTGCGGCGGTGGGAGGTGGCCGGATGTACGACTGGACTGTGGAGAGGGTGTTGAAGTACACTGTATTTTTCCGACCCTGACGCCGCAGTAGAATATAAACAGGCTTTCCTATATACAGTCATGTCCCCAGATTTCTCTACTCGGCCTCATTCTCGGCCTAGCTGCGGGTGGCAGGGTGGCCCAACCCATACCAGTCAACAACCCAGCGTTGTTCTGGCGTTGGCCATCCTCAGGCGTATAGAAGTGATACCAGACTTCCCCAGATCTCTCTACGAAGGCTATACTACGCAAATATGGTTAACCAGGGGTGTTATTTTCGGCGAATTTTGCACCGAAACTGTCACATTGTGCTGATATTTTGCTTTTTATTTTGTATTGTTTTTCTTTTTGTGTGATATGTGTGCTTTAGGGTACGTCTTGCGTCTAGTTTTGACATGTTTGGATCGATAAATTTCGTTGGACGCTTCATTTTATCTCCGGCAGTGTTTTTGTGTTTTTATAGTGTTTTTTGTTATTTTTTTCATTTTCTTTGGCCTGTTTCTTTCTTTGGTGTTTGCACTATGGGCGTATATCGTTTGTTTTTGAAAATTTCGACGAATTTCGCGCCGAAATTGCCGGCGAAAACGGCAAATATTTGGCCCCCCGTTAACCATCTCTCATACGACGGCATCACTATCAGTCGAAGTGTGGCGCGACTCTCTGCAGGCAACTGGCCGGTGTCGTCCTGAGGTCGGCCATCAGCACCAGGTTTTGAACCAAACACCGACTCGATGCGGCCCAGGCATGGGACCTACTAAGCTAGCTGACGGGATTCGCCCACCCTACCCACTCAAAATGCTGGTGCCCTGCCAAACCACCATGTCCCTACACTTGCTGCAATTAAGTCGCCGTCTCTATCAGGTATTGAACCCTTCACCTACTTGGTGCCGCTCAGGCATGGGACCTACTAAGCTAGCTGACGAGGTACAACCTATCCTACCCAATAATGCGGTTGTCCTGCCACACCACCTACTTTACCTAGGTTTACTATTAACTGCGAGGAATATGAGCAAGATAAACAGTAACCAACTTGCAAAATCACGCAGAAGTCACAGATAGTAACCAAGTGGAGAGCATAAATGCACAAAGATTCCATCCAAATAAGAGCGATACGGTGAAGTCGTGAGCCTATGTCCAAGCCCTCAGGCCGCCTACTGTACGGCACCCAGAGTCCAGCCTACTCTACTCAGTCTATTTATCCTATGTGCGTTTGTGCAAGTTAGTGCAACAGGCTCGAACAAGCTCACTTCACTCTCGAAGACCAATGTACGTGACGGCAACACCAATGCCGACCTCCCACGTACACCAGGTTCTCTCATCTCTCCTCATCAGACCCTGTCCGCCCACTCATGTGCCTCCTTCCTGAAGACCACTGTCGCCCATCACCTGCCCGTGCCCCTGCAGCCTGCTGGTGGCCGCTGAGCGCCCAGTTGAACTGCAACGCCCCGCTTTAACTCGTAGCGCCTGCACGCGCTCCAGCCAGCAGCGGCAATGCAGACACTTGAGCTGCGCAATGTCGCAGCAGTGTGTCCGCATTGCCTGCCTAGGCTATAGAGTGCCAGCCTCTGGCTGGTCTCCGTATATGGGCGTAGCTGCTCTCCTGGGGTGCCTGGGCCTGGCCGAAGAATTTTCCAGTAGCTTCCGGTCATCAGTATGCCCAGGTGACTGTGCCCAGGAGCATTCCTAGGACCCTTTTCGTTTGGGCGCCTTCAGTATGCCTTCAGGTGTTTGGCGTGTTTGCATTCGCTCGCGGGGAAGGGGTGATGACAATGGTGCATATTCTCATTTGCCCGCGGCCACTTCGTGATGTGCGGCCTCAAACTGCGTGTGCCCTGGGCGCATCCCCAACTGCTTGGCGCATCTGCTGCTTGTGGAAAGAGCCGAGACAGAGGCCCAGGCTGCACTTCAACCAACTGGCCTGTGACAACTGTCTGATACACACATTGAAAATGCTTAGGTGAGTGTGAGGGTTTGATCCCTCGACATAACCGTATAAGGCCCTGCATCGGGTACGTGCCTGCCCTAAGTGAAGGTGGACATCTGAACTTGTCAATTTTTGCAAATCTTGGTTGCCCCCATACGGTTTCCACTCGCCAGTTGGTTACATCCGCCCTGCACGAGAGAATGGGAAATATTCCTTAGCCTTCTAGACCATTCTCGACGAGACCAAAGCAGGGGACATCGCGCGTTCGTGCCTGGGTGGTTGGGCATGCCTAACCAATTGGGTCCCAGGCCACTGTCTGAATGGGCCTGGGTGCAGACACTTTGGCTGAGACTGAAGCTACTGGAAACTCGGTCTCACGTGATGGGGCAAGGCAAAGCGCCCACCGCTTTCCATACACGAAAGGCTGGCCGCCAGTGTAGACATTTGGGCACTTGCATTCGGGGGCGAAATGATGCTGGAGCACTGGCTCGTGGGCTGCTAGCTGCGCTACACCAAGAGAGTGGGCACACGCGGGCGTAGTGAGGGAACAGCGTGCTGCTGAGAGCAGTGCCATAGCCCAACCCTTCATAGCCGGGCTTTGAGCTTGGATGGGCAGCATGTGGTGGTGGACTTCGTGTATGGGAAGGAGACGTGGGAAGAGAAGACGAGGGAGAGAGAAAGAGAGAGCGATGAGGATGATGATGTGAGGGCATGTACCTGGTCTTGGTGATAGTCTACAATGGGCGACATCTTCTTGTACTTCGGTTTTGCTGCTGACGTCAACAGTTGAATTGTCAATTTGTAGGCTGGTAGTAGCTGCATGATAGTAGTCTAGGCGCCCAGCGCCAAGTAGGAGAGGGACTTTGGATACTTATGTTGGTGATGGCGAGAGTATGCTCTCATTTGCCAGTCGGACTCACTGTTTTGGTTCTCCATTGGTTTAATATCGGTGCAACCTCTGCTTTGTGCACTGTTGGACTCCTGGGATTTCAATGCGATTTTGCATTCTGAAATCTGTCATTTCTCTATTGCTCATTTTCATTTCAATTTGGTGTTGGAGCTGGTTCGAACCGCTCTGTGCTGGCGGCCTTCACAATAGCTGTTTGGTGCTTCGCTGGATATTGGTGGGGCAGTGATAACGCTTGTGAGTTGGTGAGAGGCGGCCTAGGGTCGTGTGGGCATGCCAGGAAGGCGTGCCAGGAAGGCTATCTGGCGACGTAGGGGTGCACACAGGATGATGACAGCTTGCTGATGTGGCAAGTTCGGGTAAAACTGCATTGAATTGTGGTTTGTGCCGAGGCGTTGACCGGTCATCATAAATGCACGTTAGGTGCTGGGGATAAATTTGTGGTTATCTACCCTCTTCATCGTTCTTACCGTGAGGAAGTGAGCTCTGTCTTGAGACTCCTCTCGATGTGAGGTGTTGTGTGCGCTCAACCTTGAAAGTCGACATTCTTCCTAGGCAGCAAGCTGGTGGGAGACGGGCAAAACCTCTGAAGGGCCCTGGA